AAGTTCAAATCCCGGGCATTTGCTAGAATTAATTTGTTACTAAAGCATAGTAACAGAGATAAATCTTACAGACAGAAATGAGAAAATGCTGGAAAGAATGGCTGGACAGGTTTCACTCGGCAGCTAAGGGGAGAGAGAGGAGAGAGATGTGGAATCAGAGAAGGGAGCTTAGAATGGGTGTGTTCTTTAAGTCCTCACACCTGTCCCTGTTGGGCCACCTTCCTCAAACTCTAGGCCAGCAGGTCTTAAACCGGAGCGTACACTGGAACCACCGGGAGGGCTTTGTACACTGGCTGCTGGACCCTGTGTCCAGAGTCTCTGACCCCAAAGTGGGTGACCTGAGAGTCTGAATTTCTAGCACATTCCCAGGTGACACTGCTGCGGCTGGCGAGGGGCCACAGGGGCCCTCACCCACGTGGTTCTCCGTAGGCCCAGTGTCACCGCTCTCACATGGGAGTCCTGAGTCTCAGAGAGCCCCATGAGCCTGACTCACTGAGGTCTTGAAGTATTTCCCCCAGAGAAGATGCCCCTCCCTGCTTTCCCACAGNGTCTCAGAGAGCCCCATGAGCCTGACTCACTGAGGTCTTGAAGTATTTCCCCCAGAGAGGGCCTGGGCTTAGTTTAGTGGCCACAGGGAATGTGGGACTTCTACACTGGACTGTCCCAGACATGCACATGTTTTCACTTCACCTTTTAGAATCAATACCCCTTAAAATTATGGTTGTGCTGGTAGGTTTTGCCACCTGCAATGGAGCTGCACATGGTCAAATCTGATGAGCTAGAACACTTTTATCTATCTATCTATCTATCTATCTATCTATCTATCTATCTACCTACCTACCTACCTACCTACCTACCTATCTCACATCTTGCCATAAAAAAAGCAAGGGGACAAAATCCCAACAAAGGATGAAGCCCTTCCTCCAAAAGGGGTCCACATCACACACAGGCCCATAATTATCACTGTTTCTCAGGCATCCCCTTCTCCCACCCCTTACCTCTGATGGATCTCATTCAGACCTTCATGTAGGCATTCTGCACCCAGAATAAAGCACATCTCCCAGAATAATCAGACTTCTTAGTCTGACTCCACCTTTTCTTGGTTCAAACTCTGGGCATGAAAAAGAGGTCCAATCACAACTTGATTTTCATGCCATCGTCTCCACCTTATCAATTATGGATTGGCCCCTGCATCCCATTGAGCTCCAGCAGTAAACCCAGGCAATGGCCATGAGTGATCAAGAAGCACATGTCCCAGACACAGTTAATAGGGCTACCATCTGGAATATAGATAATAAAAGGGAGAGTCCAAGACAACACAGGAGAAAGAATCCAAGAAATGGGGGCAGCAGATGGAATGAATTAGTGATGGAAGCATTGTTGTTATCAACTACTAAACGCATAAAGACACTGGAACTGCCCACCTACATTTAAGTAAATGTGGCAGCCCTGTCAAAGCTAAATTTGTCCCCAAGGCCTCCTCGCCTGGTCTTTCCACCCACAATTCCCTCCTAAACAAATGTTTATCAAGGCAGTAACTCTTACGGTAATGTTACGTAAAAATATCTCCACCAGTTGCTTTAAGAAAGCACAGTCATATTGCATGTCAATCCATGGCATGCTAGATGAACAGGGAAAGAAAACACCAAGCATCTCCAGTGTCTGGGACAACAGAAAATATTTAGCCATGTCAGAGAGATCACTATACATATTCCTTTAAAATGCTCCAAAGACTAATAGGCCTTTTAAACACGTCCCTTTACAACCCTGTAAAAGTCGAACATTTTCAGGATATCCTCACACAGATTCACTTTAAATAGCTCATTCAGTTTTCAAAGCCCATTATTTTCTGTTCTGTTCTTAATGGGACTGGTGACTGTTCACACTTCTCCCTGCCAAGTATTTACTACATGAAAATATCTACTTAAGATTAAGATGACATTGATCTTTAACTTTCTCTTCTTAGGCTTAAAAGCTCCTGTTCTTTTGATTTTCCCCAAAAGGTGTTTCACCAAGCTTTGATGTCATGCTTGTCTCCTTCAGAGGCTGTGTATTTTCTAATGGCCGTGCCCAGGACGATGCCAACCAACTGAGCCACACTGGCCAGGGCTACACACATGTTCTTGCTGAGACAATGGGAACACAAATAACTATGAGCAGATGGCATTATTTACACATGATTTTTTTTTTAAGAGAACACCCATCGAGCTGTCATCTAAAGAATGTGAGAGGCACAGAACAGTGGAGAACTGAAGGTGAAATCTCTGTGGCAAAGGGGGATATGACACAAACAGAGGCATGGAAGTGACATGAAGCGAGACAAGGGCTGAGGCAGTGAGGTGAGGGGTTCACTTTCGGGAGAAATAAAGGAGGAGGGACTCCATTCCTTACAAGGCTGAGTGTCTAAGGGGCACGTCTTAGAATTGTATTCAGCATTGGGAAGCAAAAAGCAGAAAACCCACTTGAGATACCGGGGACAAGGTGTCTAATTTGAGCAGATTTCTGTGCTGCACTTCATGAAATCCCCTCTTCCTCCTAGCCCTCTTCAGTTTATCTCGCCTCCAGGTCTGTTTTCCCTCCATCTGCCTTTGACACTCTTAAGTTCCCCTGACACAGTGAGCTGGCTTTTTCTGCTGTGTTGCCCCTAGAACATGCCAGCTCCTGCCTCTCTGGTCCTCTCCTGCTCACCCTCAGCCCCCTCTCTGTGGGTCTCCTTCTCCAGTTGCCTTTCCTTTCCTGTGATTAGTGATGCTCCTTTTTCCTTTCCCTCCTTCTCCCACTCCTCTAAGTGGGTTTTTTCCCCTCCTCCTACTCTTTGCTGGAAGACCAGAATGAGAACCTTGTTCTTTCCAATCTCGTCCTACCCAGAGAGTCTCAGGAAAGAGTGTAGGAAAATCCAAATGTAAACAGCGTTGGCTAGGATTACTCCTGGACAAAGGAAGCTTCCAATGAGAAACTCCATAGGCTAGGAACCCTCTCGCCTGCTCCCACAGCGATCAGAGTTGTGGTTCTCAAGCTCGAGGGGTCTCCAGGATCCCCCAGGGGCTTTGTTAAAACACAGTGCTGGGCACCATGCCCAGACCCCGCGACACAGTAGGTCTGAGATGGGGCCTGGGAATGTGCATTTCTGACAGGTTGTGGTGATGCCAACTGTCCTGCTCCAGGGGCCACACTTTGAGAACCATTCAAGTGAGGGGACCAAGAGCAGTCAGGTGGTCAAGGCTCAGCTGTGCATGGTAACAGTTCGGCAGGGGAGTCATAAGAGGGAATGGAGTCTCGTTCCTTGTCCCATTAACCCAGGGACTCAGAGAAGCCTGGGAAGCCCTAGCATAGGGATCCAGAGGATGTGCTGGGTGCCACGAGGAGGGGAGGAGAAACACGGAAAGCTCCGTGTTTAACCTTCTGGGAAACACCAAAGCCAGCTCCAAGCCCTGTCATCCACCCGCCCTCTTGTGATCACACACTGAAGCAGCAGAAGGGAATTCTCAGGATCCTTTGATCCCTTCCCGGTCCCCCAGTCCTCTTCTGTTTATCTCGCTCATTCCCTGGCCTCCCCTTCCCGCTTCTTACCCCTTGCCCAGTGCGTGAGTCACCCCCCTCCTCCCCGCCCCACTGTCATCTGTTTTTCTAATGATGGCAGAAGATGAGCTGTTTTGTTGGCCGGAGCCATCACAAAGCACACTCCATGCTCGCCTTTTTCCTGATGCCCTCTCACAATGCTATTTTATTGGTCTCATTTCCCTTTGTCCCAAACCCCACCCTTTCCCCTTCTTTGGCCTCATGCAGATCCCAGTTTCCCAGAACTAGATCAAGAGAAACAGAAGGATGGGGGGGACTGACATGAGTGTGGGTTGGGTGTGGGGGAGGCAGGGTGTTGGAAACCAATGGCCCTCAAACAGTTCTCTCTAGCGCACAGCAGCAGCCAGAATGACCCAAGTATTGCCGCTGAGTGGCTTAATCACTTCCAGTGAGAGATTTGGATGACAAAGCCTGTTGTGACTGAGACTAGAGTATTTGTATTTGTCACTTGCTATCCCCAGGGTGAGAGAGCTTCAATGGTGTGTGCATGCGTGTGTACATCTGCATGTGAGAAGTGTCCCCTCCTCTCCATGTCAGGATTCCTGGGTCATCCCCCATCAGGGAGGCTCTGCCTCATTCATGATTCTTCCTTGACATCACTCCTGCTAACCTGGCTGAGGGATTCACAGCACCTTAGGTGCCCCATGGTAGGGAATCCCCTGTGTAAAGAGGTAGGCAGGATTCCTTGAGGCAGCAAAGGTCCAGTGTGGCGTACTCAACAGCAGACTACAGGTCTGCCCCAGAGGTTGAAGATATAGATGACTGCGTGACCCAGGCAGCTGGTGAAAATAAGGGAGCCCACTAGGTAAGAAGCCAGAGGCAGAGGGGAGAAGCATGTTGCCCTGGAGAAGCTGCCCTTCTGGGGTTGTAGCTGCTACTCAGATCCACCTAATTATTGCCAGATATTTTTGTTTTTCAAGAGAAAAATCTTAGCACAAAGTGTTTTATATTTATTTTTACTTAGAGTATGTGTGCCTGTGTGTGTGAAATGTTTTATATACACATATGAGTTTTATGTGAAAAATCCCAATTTTTAAATATTAGCAATCAAAACAAGATTGTTTTTAGACACTGTGTTGGCCAAATAAACCTGTCTGTGGGCCATCGGTCTGCAAAACCCTGATCTAATTAAGCTCCAACAAGGCCCCGTTAGAGAATCCCAAAACCATAAATAATTCTGATTTGCTCTTAACTTACTTTTATTAAGTCATTTAAAATGAAACCCTGGAATGCTGCTTAAAGAAGAGCCAAAATCAGAAATCCTAATATCTGCAGTTGTGGGATTGTGGAGCTAAACTTAAGAAATTAAACAAAAGGCCGAGAAGTGGAGAAATGGAGGAATCCTGAACTAGGAAGGCTTGAGGCCCTGTGAGTTAAGCAGAGAAGTCTGGTCTGGGTTTGGGGAAGGGGAGGTGACTTACCTCACAGGACTGGATGCAGTGGACAAGAACGGGGTCTGGGTGCCACTGACGCCGCCCGGTGCACACGATGCTCTGAAGGAGAAGACAAAAAGAACAAAAACTAAGACTCTGGTCACTGAGGGAAGGGGAAAATCCCGAGCTCACTCCACCAGCCTAAGCCCAGCCCTGAGCAGTGAGGCGCCCACTGTGCCCGTGGGGGAGGCTGAGGCTGGCTGGGCCTTCCTGTGGAGCTGCTGGTCCTGCCGACGGGGCCACAGCACAAGCTCTTGGTGGAGGGGATTTTTCAATCTCTTCCTCCCCCTCCTCCCTCCATGAGGTATCAAAATTTCCAGAGCGATGGTTAAAAAAAGCATCCTTGCCCAGTTGGTATGGCTCAGCGGTTAAGCGGCAACCCATGAACCGAGAGGGCACTGGTTTGATTCCAGGGCAGGGCAAGTGCCCGGGCTGCGGGCTTGATCCCGGGGGTGGGGCGTGCCCGAGGCAGCCCATCAATGTTTGTATCTCTCTGTCCCTCTCCCTTCCTCTTTCTCTAAGATCTCCCTCTAAGATCAATACAAACATATTTTTTTAAAAAGTATCCTCAATGTTATGATGAGTACAATGTGGTCTTAGGCACAATATTGGTTTCATTTGTTTTGACATTTTAAATAATGTTACAAGAAACCGTGAGATGGCTGTGCTGATCGGGAAGCAGTGTGCACTTTTAAGGCTGAGAAATACAGGTTCACGAGAAGAGCCCGGGATCTCAGGAACACAGGATCATACGATGTGAGTGGCCCAGCAAGGACTGCAGGCTAAAGCGCACTCTCTGCGACTCTGGTGAGCACCACTTTTCTCTGCCTTGTAGGAAATAAGAGGGTCTGTGCCCTGGCCAAATAGGGTTAATGTGAAACCACCAGGACTCAAAATGGCCCCAGCATTAAACTGGTGAGTGTGAAAACACGCTCATGTTAGGACACGGGTGACTTTCTCATTCCCAACGGGCACTTCCAGATATACCTTTAAATAAATAATCATCTACTGTTCATTAAATAATAACTCATTTTCATCGAGCTTCTTCTTTTTAATTTTTGTATTTTAAATTTCCAAAGATAAGCTCCAGGAAAAGAGAAGGTCCCATAGGAGGTTTCAAAGAGAAAGGGAGATTCTCTCCATAGCCCTGCAACCCACCCACCCATTTGCAGACTTTCAAACTTATATTCTAATTTGGTACAACAGGGATTCAATTCACTGGTAAGAAAATTGACACGTGGGGAGATATGAGCTTTACATAAGATAGCACCTCTATTAATTGGAAATTATACACTCTACAATGCTAAGACTGCGATAATCGGATTGGAGACTTGCATATATTACTATGTGGGTATATGAATATGTATCTCAGTCAGCTGTGAGAATAGGAATCTGCAATAGTCTCCTGGAGCTGCCCTACTGTAACTCAAACTCCTCCTTCAGCTTCCCTAAAGGGAAATAAATACTGTAAGTCCTAACACATTTTGATATCCAAAATTCCATACTGTAATAATGTAGAAGGTGCCTTGGTATAAGCTATCATTGCACTCTAATAAGGGGATTATTAAATCTATTCAGGATTACAGGTATATAAGGTAAACACAACAGGGGGATCCAGCCACCTGAGATAGTGGGCTATTTTCTTACACTTAAAGCCATTTAAGCAGACAATTTACTTTTAAACAATGGCTCTGCTACCTAGAAATGATTTTCGTTTATATCTTAATGCAGCTACCAGTGGAACGCTATCACGAGATAATGGTAATGAAAAAATACAGTAACTCGTACCCTTGAAATGTAAATGCATGGCAACTTGATTCCTTCTCCTAGCGCTGCATCCACTAAGGACCCCTGGTCCCCACCCTAACCAGTCAGGCATTCAGGTCAGACCACAGGTACGTGGTCACTCACTAGGAGCCAGGTGCAGTGAGCAAAAGAAATAAGGTCCACGGTCTGGTCACTGCCCTCAGAGTGCTCAATGTCTGTTGGGGGAGAATGTGGAAGGATGTCAAATCCCTCCAATAAAGGGATACTTGACCTTGAAACTGTCTCATGATGACCATGGCCAGAACTCTCCAGAACACTCTGAACTTAGTGTGTTAGCTTCTCTTATACCCTCCAAACATTCTATCCGACCCACCCCTTTTAAAATGCAGGAATATTGGTTTTGGTGTTTGTTTTTGGAACACTTTAGAAATTCTCAAAATATATTGCAAAGGAAAAACAAAAGACAGGAAAAGAGTCTGTCTTTACTTTCAGTTCTTTCTCTCCAAGGCTCTTTTCTCCTATCATTTCCAATTAATTTTTCACATCTTCTTATTTTTATGTAATTTTATTTCATGATCATGTAATATATGTTCACAGAATGAAATATAAAAGGTATAAAAGGGTACATAACCTCTATCCTGCTCCTGTTCCCACTACCCAATTTCCTCCCTCCTATTTTGCTTTTTGTATCATTACAGAGATAGTCTATGCATATACATACATATATGTATAAAATCCTTTATTTTCTCACATAAATGATAGAATACTGCAATTTTATCCTGCACATTGGTTTACTGTTGTTGTTTGCTTGTCTTACTTTATTTCACTTGACAATGTTTCTTGGGGTTCTGTGCATTTTATAGTATATGGGCTGCTGTGTCCTACTGACTGCATAGTACTCCATTGCATGGATGGGCCCTAACTTACTTAACTAGATCTATATTGATGGATATTTTGTTCTAACAGCAAAGTCTTTTGTTCTAACAGACAAAGCTTATGTATAAATCATTTCACACATGTGCAGATATATCCATAGAATTCATGACAGTGGCATTGACAATACCCATGTCCTTATTTTAATGTCCTATAATTCAGTCCTGAGACAAATTCAGACTGGCAGCCTTCCTTCATCTCTATAAAAACGCAAAAGCTTCTGGTCCCTGTGTCACATGCCTTCCTAGATTTCAAAGTCCTTGAGAACAGGAGCTGTGTCCCACTCATATTTCTTATCTCAGCGACCCAGAGAGAAACGATGTTTTACGAATAATTGTCATCCACTGCATGTGATGTTGTATTGTTAGGATTCTCCTTTGTCTTCTGGGCTATGAAATGCACTCATCCTGTAAGTAAGATATGCATAAGCCGCCTGGCTTGGCATGGCTCAGCGGTTGAGCATCGACCTAGGATCCAGGCGATCGGGGTTCGATTCCTGGTCAGGGCACATGCCCGGGTTGCAGCCTCGATCCCCAGTTGGGGGCGTGCAGGAGGCAGTCAATCAATGACTCTCATCATTGATGTTTCTATTTTTCTCTCTCTCCCTCCCTCTCCTTTCCTCTCTCTGAAATCAATAAAGATTTTTTTTTTAAAAGATATGCATAAGCCATTGACTGAACTATTTATTTGTCGAAATTGGAGGAAAATTTCAAATGTTTTTCAGGACCTAAATTTGATGGGCACATTTGTAGTGGTGAAACAGAAAGTAGTGAGAAGGGGGCATAGAAGGTCCTGGTGAGTGTGCTAAATTAATTAAACAAGGGGGCATTAGATTGAGGCTCTCTGGCTCTGACAGTTTACATAACAAGCCAACCAAAATCTAAGCCTGTGAATTCCTCAAGGTCACGCAACTGAAACACAAGGGCAACCAATCACAATCTGCGAACAAGACTTTAAGCTACAGCCAATCAATAACATCCTTACTCCGCTTTTGCCTTTTCTCTATAATAAAGCCTTTCCCTGGAGGAGTGCTCCTAACTACTTCCGATTCCACATTGCCCGTTGGGATTGATTTTGGTTCAAGTAAACTCTTAAAATTTTAATACGCCTCAGTTTATCTTTTAACAGCTCAATAAGATTTTCTTATTTTCTGGAACATTTTTGACAAATTAGAATCACATGTTACATCTGAATGGCTACAGAGAATGTCTGAACGAACAAAGTTATATCCTCTGTGCAATCTTATCAAATCTTAACATTGTGCTGTATCTGCTTCCATAGTAAAATAAGTCACTAAAGATTTAATTAATGTCCCCTATATGTGTCCCTCCATTGTCATTCTCCTTCCTTCCTCCCTACTGGGAAATAACTACTTTGAATTTTTAAATTATTATTTCTATATGTTTGTATGTGGTTACGACTATTGCTATGACACTCTTGGCAAGTCACTGCTCAGATGAATTCATTGTGCATGAGTAAGTGCCAAGAATTTGTTTTGAACTTGCAAATAGAAAGAGGTTCCGAGAAAATCAATTTAAATATTTGAGCCATTAAAGTTGGTTGGGCCATTTAAAAATTTTTTAAAAGCAAGAAAAAAAGGGAAGAATAGTGAAAGGGAGGAAGGAAGGAGAGAGAGAACCATTTAAGGGTTGGGATGGTCTAAGGCTGTATGAAGGCTGTTGCCCGGTTAAACGCCTAAAGGTCCCAAGACTGAGGGTTAGCCAACATTAAGATCTAACACAAAATTGCTCAATTGTGTGTTTTTTTCATTCCAATAGTTGTTTGGCTCATCACAACAGACCACAGAGCTGTGCTGCTGTCCATGTCTGTGACAATTTCCGTATTTCTATAGATGTAGCAGCCTAACTGAAGTGCAGCATTATTCTGCATAGTGATGGGACCATAGCACATTACCCTGCCATCTGCTTTTCAGTCCCTCTCCCCCTGCCCCCCACAACCCTCTTGTCTAGTCTTCTCTCGCAACCAGGGACTCGATGCCTAGAGACACAGTCCAACAGAGTGAGCAATTCCATGCTTGAAACTGATGAGAAAGACGACCTTTCCATGGCTCATGGGACTGAGCGATTTGTTTTCCCACTGTTGTGTGGCAAAGACACAACTGTACCCTTCAAGAGGACACTCTGGGGGAATGGGTAGCAAGGATTAGGACATGAGGAGACAGGACGGTGGGTGAGACTATTCAGTTGGAAATTATGGCTCTGGAGGGCACTATCTTTCCTTGTTCTTCCTGCTTCTCTCTTCCTCTTAAAACATTTTGTTTTTATTTTAGTAATTATTAATCCTTTGGGGACCAATTTTGGAAAACAGAGCCAGAAATTAGGAGATTTGTTTTGACTGAGCAATTCTGTTGAAAAACTGGGGTGTTGGGAAAGGGATTTCACGCAATGCTGAGAATCTTCGCAACCCTAACATGCTGTAGCCATAGGAAACGCTCATTAATTTGGACCTCCCTACATTAATTCCGACTTCGTAATTGTAATATGCTAAAAAAAGAAAAGAAAAGCATTGCCTGTAATAAGTGGATTTATGAAGCAAACTACTAGGGGAAATAGTATGTTGTGATGGATGCTTTTGTACTTCAGAAAGAAACACTTTCAAATACAATTTAGAAAAACTCATTTACACGCAAACAATTGCCACATTATGCATGGAAAGTAATCTCTCCATGAACTCAGCTTCCTCAAGGACCGCTTCTTCACAGCGCAAGTCAAAACCTTCATTTTCCTATCTTAAATAGAAAGTTGTGAGATATAATAAAACACTCTCTCGACACAATGGTTAATCATCAAAATTCCACCTTGCGCCGGCTCTGGGGGGAAATCAGAAGGTTTGCCTTGAGAAATGGTCTGTGGAGGCGGGAGCCACTCTCTGCTCCTGGCTCTGCTTTTATCCTGCAACCCTGTCCTGAGCACGGGATGCAATGAGTCGTGCACGGAGGAGATCCGGGGACAAAAGTAAGGCATCCTTGCTACCCTCAAGAAGCATACGTGTTTTGGTGTTCGAAGGACAGAAAAGAGAAAAGGGAAGGAAAAAAATGAAGAGGAAAAACAGAGGCGAGGAAGGTACCAAGTGCTCCTAGAAAAAGTCTGTGGAGCAACTCCGAGGCCCAGGCGCTCTGGCCCTCGGCACCGGATACCGCAGGGCAGTCGGCAGCGGGCCCCTGTTCCTCGGTGTGAGCAACCAGCCTGGACACTTGGCTGTTCCTGCCTGTCCCGGTTACCGGATCCCAATGCCCAGGCACCGTGGCGGCCTGGCGGGCAGGCATTTATTGGACTGCCAAGGGCCCTCTCTTTCTATCTGGATATGTCTCTGCTGATGCCACCCCCGTGGAAAGGTCTAGGTGTCTGTGTGCAGTAGGTGAGGGAAGGAGTCACCATCGCAACAACAAAGGCCCCACAAGTCCACTTGAGGATTTCAACCCCTACCTCTCGCTTCTCACAGCCAGCACGGCCCTGAAACATTTCAAAAATAACAGCATGGTTTCATCATTACTCTCTTCTGTCTCTCAACCAAAGCCGTTAGAAATTGCTTCTTTGGTCAGAGGTATTCCCGTAGGAAACACTGAATGGCCATGAAATTTCTTTCCAGCCCCATTTGGAAAATGGATAGGAAAAAGACAAGCACATGAGCTACAC